AGTTTCTTGGTGCTATGGTGTGTATTTGCGTCAAGGAATGACAGAACTTATTTATTTTCGACACTGTACTGTTTAAGCAATTCTTAGAAAAGTTATCATCATCACTGAGTTCTCACAATTGGATGGAAGGATGAAAAAATCAGTCGCGAGTGAGAATTTATGATAAATTAATTCAGACAGTAATTTTAAAAGTTATTTAAAAAATTGTGCATTCTGTTTGTTTTAAAAAGCAATTGAAATGATCCTTTTTATACTTTACATTCTTTTGTAACTCCGCATCAAACGCTCCTGAAAGCAAAAAGTTTTAAACACTTACAGGAGGCTACTACCCTAGGCTTCAGACACAGGTTTTTTACTTGCAAATTTGCGATGCCATTTTTGTTCATGATTTATTCACTTTTAAAATTTGACGCTTTGAAGTTGCTATAAATTCAATTGGCCACGTGTACACGGCATGTCTGAGTACACGGGCGGGCAAACCCACTTGATTTTGTAACCCTGCCCGTTATGGGACCCGGGGGAGGCTCTCAACAAAGTCTTATATATGGATGGGCTCCCCACCCGAAATCCAACTCCTCACCCTTGTATATACCATTTTCGAAACAAAAGGAACCCCTTTCTTATATCCTCCATTGACAATGCAAAATGGAATAAAATTCACGGCGACATATACCCGAGGAACACTACATCTCTTGTTGCGTAATTGGCCTTTCTTTTTATATAGCAAAGAACGCTAGATCAGAGAGCCTTGTAGTCATTTCTACAGCCATGCATAATATACGAGTCTGTTAAGTACAGTCAAACCGTGTTAATACGGACACTGAAAGGACCATAGAAAGTGTCCGTACTAAGTGGGTCATTTAATCAAAGTCAAAAAACACCTTTTATTAGAACAAAATAACGAAACAATAAAAGACGACATTAGCATCGTCAAACAGCCTGACATCTCTAATCTTCTCAAAGCTGTCATTCCGAGGAAAAATCTACGGAAACACTCTAAATTCACTCACTATACTACCATGAAAACAAAACCCTTCTCTGCATAACTCGTTTGATGCCAAAATAGTCTGAAATTGACGTCTACA